TTCTTTTTTTTTAAAGCTCTCTAAATATGCTATTCCACTATCTTCTTCCTTTCATTGTTTTTGTTAGGAAATCAGCCATCAATATTAGTGTTGTTGTGTCCATGGCATTTTTGAAGTTCCTGTTAAAAGTCTGGAATGTTTACCAATGTAGAGCTTGCACTCTAACCATTACCACTCCAGCCCCTAACAACTACTGAAACCTTTGCTTGTCTCTTTGGCATCTCACATACTGCTTTGTGTTAGATGTTTTTGTGCTCTTAACTTCTGCCTACGAAGGTTAAGAGCCAGCAAGCTTTAAGCTCTTTCTCCTTTTCCCAGAGAGACTGCTTTTTTTTTTTTGAAGAAACTCTATTCTTTTATAGCAAGAAGTTGTGAATTGCCCGCGATAAAAAGCAAGTGTTAGTGCAGAACTTAACTTTTCTGTGTCCTCTCCTTGTAGAATTACAGCTCCAGAAATCTTCCTTGCCTTGGTTCTTCCGAGTATTTTTGTTATATATTTTGTTCTACTTTCGTAGCAATAGCTGGTAGAAAATTAATCTGCTACAAATGGCACTAATAAGGCTGGAATAGAAGTTAATCTACTCTTTCTAAAAGCCTGGTTCTAAAGTAGTTATATGGAGACACCTAGAGAGAGAACAATGAGTTGGAAAGTGCGCAGAAGTGTAAGATATGTCAGCACACTTTATAATAAACAAGTTGGTAGAAAACAAAAGGTTGAGGACTCAGGGATCAAGAGCTCGTATGATAAAGAATCATTGCATTAGAAGAGAAGCTTCTCATAAGAAAAATTTCTGAGATTGGTGCCAATACTAATAGGTATACAAATGGAAGGACAGAAAACTGAGATAGTTCATGCCTTATAACCTCTATTTTCTGTGCTAAATAAGAATAAAGCCATTGTTCTAAATAAGAATAGAGAAGTGTAGAAGAAAGAAGGCTTAGATAGTAATGAAGCTTTACATGCTGCCGTGATTAGAGAGGAAGCTAGCCAAAGACATCCAGTAGGATTTCTGAGGTTTATTGAAGGGCAAGCCATAAGTTAAAACATCACAGCTCAACTCTAAAAAGTAGCTCTTTGGCCACAAAGACATGACCATAAGTGTCCTTCTTCTTCATTGTCTCTTTATGGACTTACGATATGGTAATATGTGAATTTATCTTGAGAACTTTGCAGATTGGAACATATCAGTTCTAATTTTTGACAGTCACTACTGAAATTTCTGTGCGTTAGCTGGAGGATACAGCTACATAACATGAACGTGATGTTAGTGTCCCAGTTAGGCCTTGTTGGTTCTTTTTAAAGAATGTATGCTTGCTTTACTCATAATATATTCTCTTTAAAGGAAGAATGTTATGTGTTAATCAACTTATCTATTAATGTGTCTCTTTCCTCCTACCTACACTACTCCATCAGGAGCTGTGCCAGTTCTAATCCAACTCCTTTAAGATTGTGATGTCAGAAGTAGAGGATTAAATTTGATCAGAAAAGCATGTTTCTAATTATCATGAACTCAATGGCTTTATTTTGCTTATCAAGATAAACTTTAGACATATTAGGAATCAAAACATCCTGATGGTAAGATCTTACTGACCAACTCAATGCTATCTTGTATTTACTGCAAATAGTACATGCTGAACCAATGCAAACTCACTGTGATTCTTTCTTTACACACAGTGAGTTAGTCACAGACCTTGTTCCGTATCAAACTACCCCCAAACCCAGTGGCTTAAGCAGCAATCATCTATTATCATTCATATGTCTGTGGGCCAGCTGTGGGGTTTAGCTGCTCTGGATTATGTCCAGCTATACAGCTTTCCTCTGCATCCTCTTAGGACCCCAACAGGCTAGTCAGGGCATATTCCTCTTAAGACAATGGCAGTAGTGCAAGAAAACAAGCAGAAACATGTGTAACCTCTTATGGCCCCAGCCAAAACTGGCTTGTTATCACTTGTGCCTATTTATCACTGGCCAAAACACATCACATATATAAGCTCAAAGTCAAGGTACATATACTCTATACCCATGACGAAGCCATGACACAAGTGCTGATGAATGGAGGGGTGCAACTTGGAGGCAAAGATGCAATGTATATTGTTCCCCCAATAGAAGTTATTCATTCTATGCGTAGGAAGAACCAAAGTGTAGAGGCTTGGTTTTTGTTGTTGTTGTTGTTGTTTGTTTTATTTATTTATTTATTAAACAAGCCTATGAAGCATCTGTAGCACAAGGGCTTCTTTAACATAGCATTTATGATCCAGTCTACCCTGGAATTATGTCTGCTTGATTTCATAACTGGGACTAAAGTGAAAAACAAAATAGTAAAATGATGAAAGAGAATGAGCTTTGCAATTAGAAAGATGTGGATTACAGTCTCAGCTCCGCCACATTTCAGCTGTTAACTTTGCTGCTTAACTTTAGTATGTCTCAGTCTTCCTCATTGTGAAATGAGAATATCAATAATGCTTACCTCGATTTACCTCTAAGGGGATGTTGAATTAAATGAAATGGAACACACAAAGCTGGCGCATAGTCGATGATTGAGAATGATAGTTGTAATTATTTCCATAGAATCTGTCTCAGGTAGAGGACAAGTGTATAGTAATAAATTTCTGTGATAATTTTCTTTTGTGATGAGAGTAAAAATGCCTTTAAAGAAGTAATGCCTTTAAAGAAGAAGATGTTGTGGAGGAATTTTGCTGGTCACAGAAGTTATTTAAGGGCTATTTAAGATTTAATTATTGTGACGTTCAATGAATGTGAATGAGAAAATCATTATGGTAATAGGAGATTTATGAATTTCTAAAATTTTAAAGAATTTCTCCATGCCCTATACACCTTTTTGTGAAGTGTGGAATTTGTAATCTTACCACTCTGTACGACATACGTGTGACATCGCATTTTCAGTTTCCCTTGAAACCATGTTCTAGCAAAGTAAACTAAGTCCAAGAAGGGCATAAGACCTGGGTTCTTTTGTAGCCAGCAAAGCTGTTAAAACATTCATTCACTCACTGGAAACTGCAATGCAGCTATAGTGTTCATTAAATTAAACTACAAAGTCATTTTCTTCAAATGTTATTACTCTATAAGTTTATAGAAAATTATATATACCATATAGATAAACATACTATTTTTTTTTTCTGCTGAAGAAACAGTGATTTAAGTTCAAAACCATGAAAATGTTAAGTTACAATAAAAGGCCACTTTCAACTTTGCCATTTAGAGGCTCACTTATTGTTCATAACTCTTATAATTGGAGCCTTATTATATTATCCTGCTGCACAGCGTGATTTCCTGTTATTTGTCTAATGTTTTTTAAAGAACAGTAATTTAATAACTATAGTGATATTCATCCTCAGCTTCTAACAAATGTGCTATTTCATGAGGCCTTTTTGTAGAACACTGTTGTAGTCTATGTATACTCCATGCTTGCCATTAGGTGACTTTGAAAACAATGCAAAGCAGAAAAATAACCTAATTCCCTGTGATGCTTCTTTGAAAAAGAAAGAAACTTTAACTTTTAGGGCATTGCAGTTTTATTTCTCTTAAAAGCACTTTCAGTTTATATTTGTTCCTAAGAAAAGTGATTTTATTCACTCCTCATAGAAAAGTCTGAACTGTGTATTTCAGTTCCAGGGAAACATTGTTAAGTTTTATTGTCTACACTGCACACAAATATCCTAGTACTATATTTTCCAACGAAAAACAAACAAAAGCCTTAAAAATATAAATAATTTATTTAATTTGTTTAAGAGGTGGGGTATCTGTAGCCTTAGGGCCACATGTGACCTGGCAGACCCTTGAATACAGCATTTTGACTGAATCCAAATTTTACAGAACTGATCAAGGGATTTGCTCTGTGAAGTTTGGATTCAGTCAAGCGGCCACACTTGGGGATCTGGAGGGCCACATGTGGCCGCTAGGCTGCAGGTTCCCCAGCCCATTTATATCATTTTATAAATTATATGTACTCCTGAAATTTGAAGCTCTCTGATGATAGCTAAGTAGCACCATAAAATGATATAATATATACATTTTTTTTTTAAGACAGAGTCTCACTCTGTTACGCAGGCCAGAGTGAGTGCCGTGGTGTCAGCCTTGCTCACAGCAACCTCAAACTCCTGGGCTCAAGCAATCCTCCTGCCTCAGCCTCCTGAGTAGCTGGGACTACAGGCATGCACCACCATGCCTGGCTAATTTTTTCTATATGTATTAATTGGCCAATTAATTTCTTTCTATTTATAGTAGAGATGGGGTCTCGCTCTTGCTCAGGCTGGTTTCGAACTCCTGACCTCGAGCAATCCACCTGCCTTGGCCTCCCAGAGTGTTAGGATTACAGGAGTGAGCCACCATGCCCGGCCCAGGCATTTCTTTATATCCGAATTCTCTTACAATTCTAATTGATTGCATCTTACTTTTAATGAGTTTCAGGAAAGAATTCGTGATATTTAACTACCAAGTTAGTGTTTTGGGTTTTTTGTTGTTGTTGTTATTTTTTTTTTTTTAAGTTTGTATTTTGTGCGTATGTCTTTCAGTTGTGGGCCGTTTTATTTTGTGGATTTCCAATGTGATGACTATAATTTCGAATCTTTTAAAATATATTTTTGTTTTATATTTGATGGCCAAAGCCTTTAATTTGTCTTGTTAGTTTTTTTAAAAATATATAGGCAAACAATTTATAGTTAACATTGTTCTATCGCATGAATGTACGTAACTAGATAGTGAGGGCATACTCAATGCAGATCAGTGATATAAACACAAACAACACACAGATGTGTTGCCAACCGTTCTTTCACTTCTTAATGAACACTTGTTCTAGGAACACCTTTGAAGTGACTCCAGCATTAGTTAGAGTTGTGGTTTCTGTGGCCTTCACTTTCTGGTAGTGACCAATAGCCGAACCAAAATCAATCTCTGTCAGGCTTGTAATTGAGCACTTCCCTAATTTATGAGACAGTTTTCCCATTAACAACAAAATCTTGAGAATTAAATAAAAACAGACCTTCACAAGTGCTGCTGCCTAGGTTCATGTGGGATAAACGTTGATAAATGCGTGTGCCTTGCGCGAACCTGACGTTGAAAAATTCCGTGTCAGAGTTTTAGGTCACATTCTGACAACAATTAGGAACGCTGAAATAAATAGTTGGCAATTCTTCTTTGTTATGACAGGGGATGTACAGCCATTTTTATAAAAAAAAATGCCTATTTTACGAATATGAAATGCAATGCCCTGCCATCTTGCTATGACTGAGAATCTGTAAGCACTTCTATTATAAACCATAGTAGAATCCTTTTGAAGATTTGAAAAGTTTGGTTAAGCTGTTTTCACCTCATTATTTGTAAAATTCCTGTGCCACTGCAATTCCATGCATCATACAGAACCCACAAAATGGTTAAAAGATAGTTAAATGTCCAGTTAAAGTTTATTTTTAGTATGAAATATCTCACCATAATATTTTGTGAAATGTTCTGGAAAAATCTAAATGACTCAAGAGGGCTGGCTGAAATTCTAAGTCTTTAAAGTTTACTGTAGTATTATGTAGTTTATAAACTTCAGATTCACCTGTTGACAGCATAATCATGAGTTGACTTTTTTGACGTTTAAATTACACGAATCTGTACATTTACATTGATCTAAAGACTATGATCTATAATGAGAAAAAGAGATATTTTATCAGTCGGGCTGAATCTGTATGAATAGAAAACTATGAGCCCATTTGGTCAGAAATTTGAACAAGTCCTGTCAGAAGCTACTAATGGGTTATTTGAATTGAGTTTGCCAAATCACTTAAAAACTAATTAGTAACCCCACATCTCATATAGTCATTGCATGGATCAATGTATCCAGGATTTCTCTGAAGAAAACAAATCAAAGAAAAGCAAGACATTATAAAACAAAAAGCAGGTTTTTAAGATATGCTTAAGAGTTAAATTATTGAAAATCCTGGAAATCGAAATGTGATATGCATAATCTATAAAATTAGAGGCAATAATTAGTATTTTTATGTATATTTCCATATATACCCATATACAAACAATTGTACTTATTTAGGTGGTCTGAATTATGGTAAAAAATAGACACACACAAACACCCCCCCTAATTAAAAGAAGTTTATTTTCTCTTCATATAACAGTCCAGATGGGTGTCCCAGGCTGGTGAAAGTGCAAACTTAGGGAGCATGGCTTTTTTCCATTTGATGATTCAGGACCTTCAAGCACCTTCTTCCACTGTGGAGTTTTGCCACCCACTAAGGCCGTGTTATCCAACCTACAGTAGGTCAAAGAGGGCATGAACATATATTCACATTTAAAAAGCCATTGCCCGGAACTGGCACCTATTCCCCTCTCACACATTTCATTGACTAGATGGCAGTCACATGGCTACAACTAACCACAGTCCAGCTGTGCTATCCACTAGGAAGGGGGGAACACGGAGTTGATCTGCTACACTACGTAATGCACAGAAATACCAATTTATAATTTTTTTTATAATTTTTTTTTTTTGAAACAGAGTCTTACTTTGTTGCCCAGGCGAGAGTGAGTGGTGTCAGCCTAGCTCACAGCAACCTCAAACTCCTGGGCTCAAGTGATCCTACTGCCTCAGCCTCCCAAGTAGCTGGGACTATATGCATGCAACACCATGCCCAGCTAATCTTTTCTATATATATTAGTTGTCCAATTAATTTCTTTCTATTTATAGTAGAGACAGGGTCTCGCTCTTGCTCAGGCTGGTTTCGAACTCTTGACCTCTAGCTATCCGCTCGCCTCGGCCTTCCCAGGGTGCTAGGATTACAGGCGCGAGCCACCATGCCCGGCCTACAAAAATACTAATTTAAATATCAACCTTATCTCCTCTGAACTACACTATTTAGCAACCTTCTAAAATTGGAATGCAACAATAATTAAGCAAAGAGCTACTCAGAGCATCTAAAATAGATACTGTAAAGTACATGAATTAAAGTATCTGCACTGCACATATTATAAAGCCATTAAAATAACTACCCAGATCTGAACAAATTTTTGCTTCCTGTGTATTCCTAATGTCTGTCACTTGATTTCTGAGTCTACCATAAATTAAAAGAAATAAATGTGAATAAAAAATTGATGTTGCCATAAGCAAGTACACTGAAAACAGCCTCCTATATAAGTAAGGCTGTAAGACAGATAAATGAATACGTAGACAAAATATTGTTCAATTAAAAGATCATGACAATTTGAAGCTCGTTAGCATGTGGTCAAACTTTCTGCTCATCCTTGAAAACATAATCTATCCCAATATCACGTCCTTTGTGAAGCCTCTCTTGACCCTCTCTGTCAGAATTATCACTACCTCCTCTGGGCTTGGAGCCATCAATATTTGTCACTTGCCTCCACTATGGCATACATAACATTTTTTCCTTTTCTAAACTATAGGCTTTTGGAGACTAGGAATGGTTTATTTTTTTGTTTTTGAATATTTCTCTACTCTCTTTACTTAGCACAATGTTTGCCATAAAAATAGGTGAAATGGATGAATCAAACCATATTCCAAAAATATCAGATATAATCCAGTATTACAGCATGGAAAAATACAATAACTGACATCCAAAATTACTATACTGAAAGCATTAAAATTTGTTTATTATTTTTTATAATGGAAGGAAATATATAATCCAGTTTAGGAAATCAATGTTCAGATTTTAACTTTGCTTTCCTTAGAGAAATAGATTTTGAGTTATCAAAAAAGCTATCTACGTACATGGCATTAAATATTTATTTATAATATAATATATACTGATTACATAAATTAAAATGATATATGTGATACATATTATCGATTTACTATACTATTATTAAATATAAAAATTGAAATGATTCTAGTGACGACGTGGCTACTATATAAATTTCACTTTATCATAGCTTAACTCAGAGTTTGTATAGCAAAAATACTGACATGGAAAATTTTAAAGACCGTGAATTAACTATTCCACAAATTTATCTCAGGCTCTTTAGCACTATCTCTTATCACTTCTAAGATTGGTCACATAAATATGCATATAATCAAGCAGAAAAGTTTCCAAATATTCTAGAATTCAATTCTAAGGTCCTAGGATACAACATTTCAGTGAAATGTCCATAAGTCACTGCTGCTTAACATCTCAAATGCACATCTATAAATTACGTGAGTCATCTATGTCCAGGTCACGTAAATAACTCCCAATTGACTATGCTTGTTTGGGGACAAGACAGTTTCATATTTTTCAAATGTACAAAAATATAAATCAAATTTCTATCAACCAATTGTTTAAAATCATGCATATATCTTAAATTTTGCTAAGTGAACAAAATTGTCCTAAATAAGCTGCATTTTTTTCTTTACATATCATGTCACTATATTTACAAAGAGTTCTCTATTATGATTATTTCAGTAAAAGATCACCTGATGTTAATTTTCCTACTTCAAGAAATATTGTTTCTGTCAAATCTCCATCTATTGGGTAGATAAACATAAGCTTACATCCTTAGTCTTCTAAAGCTGGGAGTCTTCACAACTTTTGTAGATGAAAACAAAATAATGTATGCTATTCATACATAATTAATACTAATTATGGTACTAATGGGGTACCATAGTACCCAATATGGTACTAATTAGGGTACTAATATTACTTCTGATACCACAAATGAACTATGTATGAAATTAGGTAAGCCCATACGAGTAGAAAAAAATCATTTGTTTTCCTGAAAAGGGTCAAAAGTGTGGCAAGGACAGAGACTTGAGTTTTATTAACTTTTAAAGGCAGAAATATGTGGATATTGGATGACACAAAGCCAGGTATTTTTTTTTTCTTTTAAATAAATTAAAACGGCTAAGGTACAAACTCCTTGAAAAATGGGGTTTATATAATGGAAATAGAAACTGACCCTTAACCATAGCGGCACTACCGGATGCCGTTATAATAAGCTCCCCTAAATGCCATGGTGTAAATGTATTAGCTGTACTAAGAGACCCACTCCTGCTATAATTATGTTAGGAACCAATAAGACAGCTCAGAAATCAATATGCTAAGACAGATAGAGTAAAGGACCATGGCCAGCCCACTGGGAATAGATTAGTCTGGCAGGTCCCTAGCTGAGCCATGAAGAAGGGGATATCTTAGCTGTTGTAGAAAGCCATTAATTGTAAATTTTCCTGAACAAGGAACTTGAAGGGAAAGCTTAGACAGCGTTGTTCATACCACTCAACGAAAACTACAATTCTTATTGATCAAGAGTTAAGCTTTTTATTTTTATTTGAAAATCCAATGGTGCAAAAACCTAAATGTTCAGAGGGATATTTGAAGCTTTTCCCACAGTGTAACTAAAATTCTTCTTTAGTTATTACTTTGTTTCAATAATTTTAAAACTTCTAGATTAATAATATCATATTTAGGCCCTGCAAACTGACATGTTTACTGGTGTGACATTAAATTATCTAATTGATTAATATTCATATGCCGTAACATATGGTAAGAGAAGGGATATATCCTTCTTTTCCCTAAGTTGGCAAGTACCTAATTATGAGTATTGTCAAGTTTAATAATAACTAAATTATGATAAGGAGGAAGGGCTGCTGCTGCTTGTTTTAACTATTTCTAATTGAATTTCCTCACATTGTTAGCCTTATCCAAGTAATTTGCTTAATAAACGAAAGCAGTATAATTTAGTCATTTTTCTAAGGAAGAAAAGGAGAAAGAAAAAAAGAAGAAAGAAAGAAAGAAAGAAAGAAAGAAAGAAAGAAAGAAAGAAAGAAAGAAAGAAAGAAAGAAAGAAAGAAAGAAAGAAGAAGGAGGAAGGAAGGAAGGAAGGAAGAAATGAGATGAAAACAAAAGGCCAACCTTTTGTGGTTACAGATTGGCATATCTGCTCATGCCCAATCAAGCTTTCAAACACAGGGTAGTAAACAAAAGCAGCCATCAAGCAAGGACAAAGTCAGAGACATAAGTGGTTTGAATGAGTGTGCAATTTCTGCCCATATGACAATCCTGACACAATTGCTCTAATTTTCTTTCCAGAAATGACTGATAAAAGATTTAGGTAATTGCTATGGAGACAGACTT